AAGTAGGTGAAGATACACCGGTCGATGCTTGCGCGTCCAGGGATCAATGCCGAGTGTCCTCAGGAATTCTACCTATACTCGCGCGCATTCGTTTTGGGTGAGTTTGTACATTCGCGCTTCTTTTTGACAACGAGAGAAATAGAGCGAAATCGAAAGTCGCAGGCGAACGGCCATAAGAGTCCACGGGACGAAGATTAGTTTTAATTTTCTTATACTTTTACATGTATACATTGTTTAATCATATACCGCTAAGGTCGGGTTTTCAGTGAAAGCTCACACTAGGAATAAACAAATTGTTGCGTTGTATTAAAAAAGGAATGTATTTGATACTTAAAATGGATACATTTAAGGGGATCCTATAGTGGCGGTAGTTACCGACATTTTTTCATTTTAAGGAATTTTTGAATTGGCTTTACAGAATTGCAAGTTTTTGGTCTAGAATTAAAGTATGCACAAAAATCTACATCGCGTTGTACGATTTCATATCGGGAACAAAAAAAAATTAAAAATTTTACTAATTTGGGCATATACAACTGTCATCTGACGACAATAACAAAATTATTGCAGTTTATATATATATAATGACACCAAGGCGACGTAGGGACAACATGTAGGAACAATATCGTGTAAATAAAACTAAGATTCAACGTCTAGAAAAAAAGATTCCGTAAAATAAAGTTTTATTAAGCAAAAGCACATTTAGGTTGACAGGATAAGCAGTATTGCGTGTAGCGAGAGATGGCGCAGCAATCGAACAAATGTAGGGAGCAGCATATCTGTCTCCCTTCTGATTGGTCAGCCCCCTCTCCTGTGCTAGCAAGAGAGGTTGAGAGTTACGAGGTTGGCAGAACTGAGTCTCGACGACCGTTAGAATTATACTGACTCTCGTGGCTGTTGCGTGGTCTGCAATAAAGTGTTATATTATCAGCAGTAATCGAGTGTGTAATTATTCCTCGATACCTCTCGTCAAGACGTCGGTAGTAGGCCGACACCCGGAGGCATAATCGACCTCCTGTGGTACCAAATACCTACATTGGTGACCCCGACTAAAAAAACACGCAACGGTTCTTGCACAAATTGCTACCGGAAGCCCGAGTCAGAGATAAATCCTCGTGTGGACCAGACTTCCCCGAGGAACGGACGCAGAAGTAGCGGATTGAACTACCCGCAGCTGCAAGGTACATTTCCGTGCCGCGTCCCTGGCTGTTATTTGCCCACGCTGCGGCCAGCCAGCCTCGCCGCGCCGAAACATTATTCGGGCGGCCATCTTTTTTGCCGCGCTTTCTTCACGAGGCACGAAGCGGACACGTGAGATTCTACCGGCGCCCGGGTGGCCACAGCGGTTCTACCGTCTTATTACCACGACCATCTCCTGGTGTGCGACCGGCCCTTCTCCACCTCCGCCGTTACCGCCTTCTCCTGGTTGCGACCGGCCTTCCTTTGCCGGTGCCACGGATCAACGACGTCGTTATCGCGTCATCGCCGTGATTGCGTGAAGCCAACGACACCGGCGCCTTGGATTCCCTCGCTGTTGAGACATTTAATGCGTGAAGCCAACGTCTCCGGCGCCTTGGGTTCTATCGTCACCGGGGCTTTGGATTCTACCCACCATTTACCCGGCTATAATAATGTAAAGTAAGATAATAATCCGCCGCGCACCGTCATTTATATCGTATAACGCTCGTGTCGTTTAACGCTCTTGTGTCGCTAATATCTTTGTAAACAATGTCGAACGCAGCTCTTACAGCCGCCCAAGCCCGCGCGGAAGAAGCGGAAAACCAGCTCGCGCAATTACAAACCCAGTTTACGCAATTACAAGACCAGTTTGCGCAAATGCGTACCCAGTGGAGTGATCAGGGCCTTGATACAGTTAATTCAAATGCGATTGATAATAACATTCAAATTCCGCGTATAGATAATTACAGGGTTCCCAAGATTTCCCCGTTTTCTCAAGTCGACCCAGAATTATGGTTCATCCAGGCCGAACTTTCCATGAGAAACGCACGAATTACCGTCCAGTCCACTATGGCCGATACCGTACTCGCCGCACTTGATGTTGAAATATTGAATTGTGTAAGGGACATAATTAAATTAAGACCTCCCCCAGAGGATATTTATGAGCAGGTTAAAGCCCGAATTATCGCGACGTACGCGCCTTCGGATGAAACAAAACTACGAAAACTTTTAAGGGGACAAGTCGGGACCGATGGAAAGCCTTCGCTAATCCTCAGCCGATTGCGTGGTCTTAATGGCGGGAATGTAGACGATAACGTAATAAGATCAATTTTTCTCGACCAATTACCATGCGAACACCGCGCGATCCTCGTATCCACGAGAGTTACCGACCTTAACCGTATAGCCGAAGCCGCTGATCGAATGGCTGAGAGCGCTCGCGGAAATGAGCCTTATGCGTCCGCCGTGTCTAAGGGGAATTCACCTCCTCCTGCAAAGACCGAGATTCAACAACTCATCGAAAGAATGGAAAAGATGGATAATATGATGGCTTCATTTAAAAAAGAATTAAATTCGCGCTCGCGCTCGCGATCCAACTCCCGTAGGCGTAGGACCTCAACCTCGCCAAACAGGGCGATCACACCCGCGCTCTGTCCGGCTCATACTAAATACCCGGATAATCCGACTTCGTGTCGAACGTGGTGCTCAAAATATGAGACGTGGAACAGTACAAAAAACTAAGCCCGCCCCCCCGTTCGGAGATGGTCGGCAAGGGCCCTCAAATTTCTAATCGTCTCCACGTCCGTGATCGTGCCAGTGGCCAAATGTTCCTTATCGATACAGGCGCGGATATCTCTCTTGTACCCGCTAACGATAGGATCAAGGGAAAGCCCTCTGAATTAAAGCTCTTTGCAGCAAATGATACGCGTATCGACACGTTCGGGGAATCTCTTCGCGAGCTTGACCTCGGTTTAAGACGGCCAATTCGATGGAATTTTTGCATTGCCGCAGTTCCGTACCCCATCATTGGCGCTGACTTACTATCGCATTACGGGTTAATACCAGACTTAAAACGACGACGTCTTATAGACTCCACTACTAAATTATATACCCTCGCGATTAAAAAACCGGCCCCGATACATTCGATTAATACGATTAAACCTTCCTCTGAGTTTTCTCAAATACTCAAGGAATTTCCACAAATAACAGGAGCCCTTCCCCTCGCCCCGCCGTCCAATTGTGACGTGTTTCATCATATTATCACCACCGGCCCTCCAGTCGCTTCGCGCGCTAGGCGCCTTCCTCCTGATAAACTTAAGGCCGCAAAGGCCGAGATTAGAGCTTTAGTCGAAGCAGGCATTTGCCGCCCTTCTAGCAGTCCATGGGCCAGTCCCATTCATTTAGTCCGTAAAAAAGACGGCACCTGGCGGGTGTGCGGCGATTACCGCGGTGTAAATGCAATCACGCGACCTGATAGATACCCCACCCCCCACCTGCATGACTGCTCCGTTAATCTACACGGTAAAACAATCTTTTCATCCCTCGACTTATATAAGGCCTATAATCAAATTCCAATGGCCCCCGAGGACATTGAGAAAACAGCTATCATAACCCCTTTCGGGTTATTCAAATACTTATTTATGACCTTTGGCCTTCGTAATGCCGGTCAATCCTTTCAACGTTATATAAATCGCGCCTTAGGCGATCTAGATTTTGTTTTCATTTATATGGATGATATCCTAATTGCTTCCTCTTCTCCAGAGGAGCATGCTAAACATTTACGCATTGTATTCCAAAGGCTTAAAGAGTTTCACCTCCGCCTTAATGTTGAAAAATGCGTGTTCGGCGCTCATGAACTAAAGTTTCTCGGGTATATAATAAATGGTAAAGGAATCAGCCCCATCCCAGAAAAAGTTGAGGCGATCACCAAATTTCCTAAACCCACAACCATCGCCGACCTACGCCGTTTCCTCGGCATGATAAATTTTTACCGTCGCAACATCCCTCGCGCGGCAGAAGCTCAAGCACCACTAAATGCATTACTAGTCGACTCGCGTAAAAATGATA